GCATTCTCTTATTTTGAAGTGAACTTTAAACTGTTTTCTTTTGAAGTCTTTTGTTGAACTTTTATTCCACACATCTTCATCTTGTTACTCGAAAAATAGGTGAAAATTTGATTTATCACAATTTGCTCAAGTAAAAAATTCATTAAATATGTAACTTATGTTTTAGTTGAACAAAAAAGGAAAATGAGATATAACAGAACTTCTTTGTGACGCTATGTAATTAAATAAATTAATAATTTTAATTAATATTTTGGTTGAAAAAGTGTAAACAAGGAAAATAATTGCCACTATAGTCAGTATTAAAAAAAAAAAGTCTTTAAAAATCTGAATTCTTACTTAACCATTAATTTTTTCTTAGTAAAAAGAGATGTTTGGTTGGATAGAAAGAAATATTTCATTTTAAGATGAGGATTCAACCCTAGATAAAAATACACTTCGTAAATGCTTTCTTTAAACTTACTTAACTCCTTTTTTTTTCCTTCGATCTCCATCAGAAATAGAGAAATTCTGCTAATTTAATAGTTGTGTTGTGAATGTCTTGTCAAATTTCAGTTTTTGTTAGTTTAAATGAGAACGTTGGGATAGTTTTTAACTTTTTGTCCCACCCCCTAAAAATACTTTTAAAAAGAAAAAAAGTTGGATATCAGAAACAGTTTTTTTTTTTTTGTTTTGTTTTTGTTTTTTAATTCTTGTTTATAAAATGATGTAAAAAAAAATGTTTTAAAGTCTGATAGGAAATGTAACATAAACTACAAATTAAAAATTATGATTTTTAGAAATTCCGTTTATTACTTTTTTTAGTTTCTAAAAGTTAATTAATTTTTTTTTTTTTTACCGCAGTTGGAGACGATTTGTTAGTACACCACTTTGTAAAATGGCCCACTTTATTATCACTACTAAACACTAACGGCGTTTTTTTTTTTTTTTTTTTTTTACTTTTTAATTCGAGATTTCTTTAAAATTCCTTATGAAATCGATAGAAGCCTTTTTTTATTTTCAGTAAAAAAATTATTTTATTTTTTATTGGTTGTCTTGATTTATTTTCTTTCTTTTTATTAACTAAATAAATATTTCATTGCACGCAAATTTGAAAATATTATCTTCTTGGCTTGCTGTCTTCATCTTTTTACAGATGAACAAATGTTTTTTTTTTTTTTTTTTTTTTTTTTTAACTTTTCAAACTTCCCTTGTTTTTTTTAAAATTATTTTCTCTTTTTTGTTGGGGGGTGGGTAACCTTGTCACTTTGCTAAGAAGTAATACAAAGTCAAAACAAACAATTTGTGCGAATTTGATTATTATTGTATTGTTATATTAGTTAGTTTCTGTGTATGATTTTTTTTCTTACGTTTTGTTTGCTGAGGTTTCTTTTTAGACTTTGATATTTTTCTTTCTTTTCAATGACTTGTAGACCTTGATTGAATAAAAATCAAGGCTCAAGAAGAGTTTAACTACAAATTACTTTTTTTTTTTTCTTTTCCACTCTTTTTTTTTAATTTAAATTTACCTATCTCATGTGTAATGTTTCTTTCCATGAATTTGAGCGATAAAAAAATTAAACAAAACCAAATATTACTTTTTTCTTTTTTTTGTGTGTGTGTAGGATCGCTTGTTATAATAACAAATGAAAATTTTGAAGTATTATTACTAAATACTACTAAAAGTAAAACCCAATTTATTACCACTTGAAATAAATGCTCATCTCGGTACTTCAACACTCTTTTTTGTTCTTTCTTTTTTCTGATTAAATAAACAAACGATACCTACAGACTTAAAAGTGCATTAAAAAATAAAAATGAAAAGCCTTTATCCATTTTAATTCCAAGCTAATCCCATTAAATTTAATTTGATATTTCCAATAAACAAAAATACTTTTATTTCAAACTGGATTTAAAAATTGATTGAAATGCTTTTTTTTTCTTTCTGATTATCGGTAAAGTAAAATGTATAAAAAATAAAATCGTCTATTGACAAATCTGTCAACACAACATAATTCTCTTTATTAAAAAAATCTTTCCAGAGTATCTATTTTTGAAACGTTATTTGAGAAAAAAAAATTAGCTGATTTGAAGTTAATTAATCTGAATTGAAACAAATATTACTTTTAGCTTAACTTTTAAAAAAAAAACTACAGAAAATAATTTTTTTTTAAAGTGGGTGTGTGCTTTTATAGGGTGTTGGCACATCTATCAACAACTTGGTGTTTGGGAAATTTAAGTAAGTGTGAGATATTGAAGTGACAAATACAACATAGATGCTTTTTTGTATAATTTTTTTGACAAGCCGGTAATCTTAAAAAGATGAAATAATTTAAAAGCATTCTAATATTTTATTAAATTTTAAGTACTTTGGTGCATTATAGTCTTTAATTATGAAAACACTTGTTGAGAAAATACTCAATAAATTTTAAATTTACTATAGTTACTGCTCTTATTTTCTGATAATTTATGGTATGGACGTTTCTATTTACCAAACTCAACATTAGTTAATTATATCCACATGAAATAAATTCAAAATTCTTTTTAAAATA